AAGGCAAAATTATCGTGACAATTTTGATAGATCACACCTCTCTTGTCCATTTGTGAAGGGTTTAACATTTTAAACTGTTCTTCCTGATTCATTTTCTATTGGATCTGCACGCATATTTTGAAAATACGTTACAACGTCCTCGGCCCCTGCATGGGGCCCGACTAGTAACCAATGACAAATCCGGCGAAACAACTGGCCGCTGTGATACAATTTTATAATAATAATAATATATGTATATTAGTAATGTCACAGATCCAATAGAAAATGAATCAGGAAGAACAGTTTAAAATGTTAAACCCTTCACAAATGGACAAGAGAGGTGTGATCTATCAAAATTGTCACGATAATTTTGCCTTTGATCATCTTAGAAATGTAAAGGTGAAATTTCCTTGCATCAAAATCTTTACTTTAAAAGACTAAGACTTGTACTGTCTTTACCAGATTACTGCCTTTTGTGTAAAACACATAAAGCAATTCAAAGATTGTGGGAAATACAAGTCTCAAGAAAGACTTAGTGAAGGTTGAGTGCCAGAGAATAAGGAAGTCATAGTATGCTCATCCAACTCAGACTGGGTAAAGATACTTGGCTAATTGAATAGATTTTTGCTTTGGCAATATGTTTGTGAAAAAAAATGTCTAGGAGAATAAGTAGATGGCTGTAGTTACTGATCCATTAATTCATACTTATGGGCCAAGTTAAATGTTCCAAATGTCCTTTTTTGACAGAGCTTATAATTTGGCAGAAGTTGATTTCTCTCATGGGAATAATTGTAGAAATTATTCAGGTTGTGTGTTTGAAATCTGACAAATTTAGAGTCTGGATAGGGTCTATTTCTATTTTTCAAACTCTTGGCCAGGAAAATGTTTTAAAGTGCAGTTCTAAATATGAAGCAAACGCCAGAAAATCCTATAGATGAAAATTAACCTTTAATTCACTTTTAGACCTTGCCATCTTGGGGGGGGGGGGGGCTGTGTAGGGCAGGTTGTTGTAGTGGATAAGGCATTAAGCTGGAAACTGCCAAACTATAAGTTTAGTCTTGCCTTAGTCACAAAGACAGCTGGGTGATCTTGGACCAGTCACTTTCTCTCAGCCCTAGGAAGGAGGTAATGGCAAATCACTTCTGAAAAACCTTGACCAAGAAAACTGCAGGGACTTGTCCAGGCAATCTCCAAATATTGAACTCAAATGAATGGATGGAAAAGAAACATCTAGGAAAGCATAATGCAGGACTGTCAAACTCCTGGCCCACGGGCCGGATGAGTCACGTGCTGGCCAGTTTAGCGAAGGGAGGGGGTGAGTCCTGATACCATTGGTGGTATTCAGCTGGTTCGGACCGGTTCAGGTGAACTGGTAGTGGTGACCTGTGGATGGGCCCACCTATCCGCCCAGTGCTATGCCGTCCTATTTAGCCACATTTTCTAAGCCATACCCATGCATGCAAGCAGCACATGTGAGCAAAGCGCATGCGTGGAAGGCTCATGCTTACATTTTCGGGCTGCGGCAAACTGGCAGTAAAATTATGTGAAACCCATCTCTGCCCAATACATCATGTGATGTCTCCATGACTATGTGAGTTTTACCACCCTGGCATAGTCAGCCTACTTGGTGATGTAATAGAACTCCTTGGTCT